TTCCAGGCCAACTGGACATGCTATCTTGTTTATACTTTGAGAAAAAGGTAGGTAAAAGTTCCATAGGCCTGCCTTCATTTGATCTAGAAAAGGAGACTCGGCAATAAGACTTAATCTGTATAGCAATTTCTTATTTGGAGAGAAGAGAACCTAGATTATTTTTTTCCAGTTTTAAAGATTCCTTCTATGGTTTCCCGGGCTGGATCTACATTTCTGGGCTCAATGACTGTCCAAATTGCTGGATTACAGATATGTGCCATTGAACCTGGCTAGACCACTTTAGTAACAGATCATTCATTCTGCTATTTTGGATGGATGAATGGATGGAGAATTGATGATCTAAATTCTGGGCCTGGAAATCTGAACAACAGACCATCCAAGCAAGAGCTTTCCACGATATACTGACAAATAAGGCCTAGAAGTTCAGAAATATGCTATTTCGGCTAGAATCAGGGTGCTTTGAATTCAAGATGGAGGAGGCAAAATTTAGGCAAAGTAGAGGAAGTAACTACGTAGCAGACAGAAAGGTAAAGGCACTGTCACATCAAGTAGGCTGGATTTGTTTAGACTACAGTTTGAACTCGGTGTAGTATTGCTGTGCTGTGAGAATTCCACCCTCTCTATCATAACTTGTATTAGTTACTTTTATATTGCGTTGACAAAATACTTGACCTAAACAATTTAAGTCAGGAATAATTTGTTTTATGGTTTCAGAGAAGTCAGTGGGGCACAGCATCACAGAAAAGAAGAGGGTGTGGAGGAGTAATATACTTTATGGTGACTGGGATTGGGGAGTAAGATGGTGGGGGATATGGAGAGGTGGAGGAGGAAAGGGAGAGGGGAAGGGAGACAGAAGGAGAATATGCACCTTGAACTTATATATACTTTTAGAAGTATATGCCCAGTGACCTACTTCCTCCAGGTAGTGCCCCTCCCCCCACTTAGCATTTCTACCCTCTATCAAAATAGTGCCACCAGGTGGGAACCAAGCAACACAGGAGCTTGAATGTAACTGTCTGTTGGCATCCTTTTGTGAGTTACTTGAGGACAGGTGCTGTTTTTCTTCTCTCTGACAAGTACCAACTATTGTACCTGACTTACACTAGAAGGCCATGAGTAGCTAGAGGAATAATATATCTGTTTAGCAGGCTTAATCAAATACTCATAGCACCTCTGGGTCTGCTTCCCTCTTTGAAGAGAGGATTTAGAAAAAAATAGCCTCATAAACTTCAGTGTTAGTGAAAGGAGGTGTTCTCTCTCTCTCTGAAAGGCTTCTTTTTTTTTTTTCTTATTTTTGTAAAGGAAGTAAATTTTAGTGCTAAGAGAATGTGTAAACTCACCACATCATAACATGGTCACAGGAGAATTCACACTTCTTAGATAAGCTAGTGGAAGAAAAAAGATAGTTTTGAAAGGTTAGAGAGAAAGATTCTGAAATGTCGCATCTCCTCTACAGAACTGGCCACCCTTGGCATCATTCTTTTCATCTACCTGGGCTCCAGAATAGCCTAGGGCATTTGGAATGCAGACAATTAGCACTTCAGACAGGGTATCCACATGCAAAATCCTGTCACTTCTCAGAGATCTCAGGAGGTGACAAGTTTAGAAAAGAAGACCCTTTCAACCTTGGCTGACAGGTTTCCTAGCTTGCAGTGTTTTTGTGTTTGGTTTAAATGGCATCGATATTTAAAAAGTTTTCTTTAAAATATAAAGCCCTCTTTCTACAGTATGATTTAATTTTAAAGATTGCTTTAAAAACAATGAGAACAAATACCTCCTCCTCTCAAGACTTCAAGGTCTTGCTTCTTCCACAAAAACAAACTCTGTTTTTCTCCAAAGAAGTTTTGTCTGTCTGTCAAACTATCTATCTGTTTGTCTGTCATCTGTCCCTTATTTATTTATTTGAGGCTTTTGTTTAGAACACTGAAAGTTAAGTCTGGAAATGACTGCTTAGGGGTCCCCTGGCTCAATTCCATTTGACAGATGGAGAAAATAAGCCTTGGGAGCAAAGGAAAGGAAAGCAAAGGAAGCAAGTTAGTGGTAAAAAATGGAGTACAATTCAGACCTTATAATTATTGTACTAACACTCCTTCCAATTTACACTGTGGTTTCTAAGGTGGGCCAAAGGTATATGAAAGCATTTTGTGCATGTTTGTATGTGTGTGAATGTGTGTGTGTGTGTGAGAGAGAGAGACAGAGATAGAGACACAGAGAGACACAGAAAATTTCAGATTTTTTTCTTGACAGCTTTAATTCCAGCCATTTATTCGTTCACTAAAACACACACACACACACACACACACACACACACACACACACACACACACTCACACACATTTAGCATCCACTGTGTGCCAGTCACTGAAGGTACAGGGATGAATAAAGCATACAAAGCCCCGTTGTTATGGACTTTATGGTCAAGTGGAAGAGACAGGCAATAAACAAGCAGATTCTTCTGCTCATACATGGGGCCCATTAGTTAGTTCTTTGTCTATTGGTTCCCTTATTATCTCCCCTGCTCTGCTATATGATCTTTGTCTTCCTGTATTGTGGGCACAGGGACAGAGAAGGAAGAAAGCCGTTTCAGTTCCTCTGCTCTCTACACTTCAAGCTGTGCATGAAGTGTGAATTTGCCAAAGTCAGGTTTAGTGTCTGTGTAGCAGCCCAGTGAAGATGTCAGTAGTTTTCATCAACACTGCGCTGGTGGGCCGGCTCACCTGTCAGCTTGCTTGTGAGATGACAATAAGGTACTGGATGTGAGAGTTGTACTATTACCTTATAATTTAACTGTTCTTTTTTGATACGATTTTAGTTGTGCTGAACCCCACTGTACCTGACTGCTTTGACAAGCGTGCTATTTTAGAAATTCAGAATAAAACAGAAAGAAAAGAATGCATGGCACGCGTGTGCTGTCACATCCAGGTTGCTCTGTTCCTAAGTTTGTAGATGATTTGTTCCAAGTTGTTCAGAGACCAAAAAAAAAAAAAAAAAGCTAGGTATCTCTGAATGTTCTAGCAATTACAGGATATGCAGTCCTTATGACCCGATAAAAGAGGATGCCCTTCCTTTTCATGCTTGAAATGCCATCATTGTAATTAATTTCCAAAGTATTAGCTTTTTTTTTTTTTTTTTCAGATGCAGAGTCCTGTTTAGGCTAACTTCCGAAGTCCTTAACATTGAGATAGACATTCATGTATCAGATCAATTTAAATTTCTTTCTTAAGCAAAACCATGGGAAAAGATAAGGAGTTGGTAAAAACACATGAGGTAGGAGGACGTTGAGACGATCGTGACCCAGTCCCCAGAGCTATTCTGTTGTCATCTTCAATAAAGCCATCTTCAAAAATTCTTATCGAAAACGGCTGTGGGTTTATATTTTAGCTACAAAAGTCGGGCACTGTTTTCAATAAAGATGGCTGGGTTGTGACTGGCTGCCACCATAGAGATTTATTCAGAATCTCAAACCTTTCCTTTTGGTGTAGGATAACGCTATGCATCTAATTCATTGAGCATCTAATATCATTCTTCTTAAAGGTAGCCCACCCATGCCAGGTTCACAAAGCACTGAGGGCTAAAGCTGTGGAAGCTATACAACAGACAGCACAAATTAGCTGTTTCCACTCCAATTCAAAAAGTATCACGCATTATCTAAAGATACGGATGAGACTGGTCAGTTTCAGGCATTAAATGGTACTATTTGGGAGGAATGGAAGAAAGTTTTTGGGAAACATTATTTAGCGTATTTTGAGATAGAATCAATACGTGATTTCAAAGAATAACAAATGGAGAGGGTTTAAGAAATTAATGCCAGTTTAGCATCAGTTGTAGAAAAAAGTTCATTAGAGCAACAGAAAAACAAGTTACAATATCAACACTTACACAATAACATAAAATGGGTTTTATATCCAAAATGATTTGGGCCTAGTCCCATACACCAAAGGACAAATAAAAGTTCACATACAACACCAATAGGCTTGCCAAACTGGACAGAAAGAGGCCACAAGCCTGTAGTCCTATACAAGAGCTACAGGCAGCAGAGTGAAGCTAGGAGGGGAGAAAATGGTCTCCCCAGGGGAGAGTACTCTATTTGGTTGTCCACTGCCAAATGGCCAGCCCTAAAAACATACGTACAAATAGCATTATATAGATTCAGCAGGTTGTAATTAGGGTTTCTAGACATAGATGCAATCAAAATGTTGTAGGAAAACAGGGAGCAGTATTTGAGAGGGTTTCAAGGGTAAAAAGGGAAGAAAAAGTAATAATCTCAAAAATTAAAAAAAAAAGCTAAGAGTCACCAATAGGACGTTCTCTTCTTAAACTCTTCAGCTAGGTGAATCTGGAATAGTTTTTAAGCACAATTGCGTGTTTGTTTTTTTTTTTTGCGACTAAACTGGTACTTTTGGATCATGAACAAAATATTAAGCTAAAAATTAATATTTGCTTGAGCCTATGCTTATTCAAGGACTAGCTTAGTGGTCGAAGACTTCATCCGAGGTCCTGGATGCCAACATCAGCATTGAAGAAAAGAGAGCTTGTTCAGGAAGATCTAGTCACAAAATCCATAGTTCTTGAATACTTGGTGGTGCTGTGGATGTCTCCTGGCCGTGTTCTGCAGTTCCAGTGGTTTATATGTCTTCGTTTGGTCAGGCTGTTTGGGCCTCTCATGATGCCACTTGCCTCTATGATCAATTCTTTTGTATACTAGTCAGGCCAAGTCATCCCTGATGGCTCTGCAGGCTGCAGGGGCTACACAGAGCAAAGCATTATCAAATTTCTCATCTCTGTGCAAGGTCTGTCTGCATTGCTGGCATAGTTCCAAAACTACAAGTCTTCACCTTGCCAGTGTTCCCCCTCCCCCACCAGGAACCCTCTGTTGGGGAGCAGGTGATCAAACCCCCATGACAAGTCTGAAGCTGCTAAACTGCTGAGCTGGCCTTAATTGAAGTGTGAGAAGAGGTTCTAAGGCAGGTAGACAACATCCTGTTGTTGGGGCACTCGTGTCTCTCTCTCTCTCTCTCTCTCTCTCTCTCTCTCTCTCTCTCTCTCTCTCTCTCTCTCTCTCTCTCTCTCTCTCTCTTTCATGCATACTGGCTGCCCTGGGAGTCAGGTGGCTGACTGACTGGGAGCCACCGCAGCAGCAGAAGCAGCAGCACCGTTTCCCTTTTTCCTTCTGGGCCCACACGAGTCAACCAGGCATGGATGCTGTGACTGTGTACCATGGCAAAATCAGCCGGGAGACGGGGGAGAAGCTATTGCTCGCCACGGGCCTGGATGGAAGCTATCTGCTAAGAGACAGCGAGAGTGTTCCTGGCGTGTACTGCCTGTGTGTTTTGTGAGTACATTGTCCTAGTGGCAGCCTGGTCACGTATGTCCTGACCTTGCTGGGGAGTCCTGGAAGGAGGGGCAGAGAGTTACAGCTTTTAGTAAAGGTAATCAGAGACACAAGCAGCAGGAACCCTGAGAACTGTTCATCGCTCATGCCTGGTCCCAAGGCTTCCCCAGACTCAGCTCAGCGCTGTTGTGGGTAGTAGTTGGGTAGAGGTTGCTCGCTGGGGATTTCATCTGCTGAGTCTTGCCAGTGTGTTTGTGGCAGCCTCTACTGTACTAGAGTAAGGATTTTCTGGAGCAGCTGAGTTACCTTCCTTCATAAGAGAGGCCAGGAGTTTAAAAACGTGGATGTCTGATAAAAGACAGGCCTGTTCAATCGTTTTAAAGTGTACAGAAAGAAAACCCAATTGTAACGGTTCCACTTTGCTCTTTGCCAAGATTGTTGCCAGCCTTTCGCTCCATTTTGAACTAGATGCAGTTGTGTTTTGGCTCCCTATCTCCCCGGCAAAGCAGAGGCGAGACGGAATCCTACCTACCATAATCAGACTCTAAGCTTGTAATCTCAGCAAACCAATCTTTTAAACCTTGTGTTTTTTCACTTAGTAAATGGGACTCATATTCCAAGGGACTGTGAAGATTAAATACCTCCAAGCTTTTAAAAACAAGTGGGCACTGGTCTTGACACTGGGCAAATGTTCAGTAAGCTATGGGTTTCAGTTTATTATTGTTCTCCTTTCGGACAATTTATTTCAGTACTTACGGAGGCATTTCTACAGAAGGTCCTATTTCAAACGTTATTGTAAGCAGGATTTTTAAAAAAAAAACTCACAAAACCCTCACTCTAGCACAGTCGTGTCTGCATAAAAACAAAACAAAGAAAAAATGCTTTGTAGTGAGTGGCCATGATGATACACTACGAACATTTGAGGTACTTTCTGGGTCAGGCGATAAAGATTAAATTGTGGATGGTTTGAGAGGTTTGTCATTGTATACTGATTTTTAAAAATGTCCAAGCATTATTTGTGGCAGTTTTCAGCTCCTGATAAATACATTTATCATAAAAGCTAAAAGTTAAATATATGGGAAAATAATTTTTCTGTGTTGGGGACAGAGTCCAGGATTTTATATGTGCCTGAAAATTGCTTTTCCACTGGACTGAACATCCAGCTCTGGGCTTGGACCTTTCTGCTTCCCAAGTGGAACCCCGAGAAGGGCAAGGAAAGCCAATGAGGATCCTTAGGTTTTTTTCTTGTCAAAAGACGGAGGATGGTGAGTGAAATGAGCTGCTTTGGCTTAGCAGTGGGTTACGCAGCATGCTCCTTAAGGCGAAAATGAAGGTTGAAAAGAAGCCTGTGTAGGGGAGAGAGGTGGAGACAGCAGACTTCTCCTCTAAGTAGCACCTGGTCATTCCTGAAGGTTCCTATGGCTGCTCCACACTCCGGATTTTACACCTTCGGTTCAATATACATCCCTTGACCATTTTAACAAATGTAAAGAACCTCTCTTTGTTGCTAGGCCATTGTTTTTATTGAAGGAGCTTTAAACTTTCTACTAGTTTGCTTAATTATATATGGGATCTACTACAAAAATACCTTCATGAAGGAATGAATATTGTCTTTAGGACCAGAAACATATCCTGGTACATAATAGGCACTCAGCAAACAACTTGGAATTGAATGCATGAACTGTGAAGACAGGTTGTGTTCTTTATGACAAGGAGCCTTGGACTGACAAGAGGCCAGGCTGAGGGCTCTAGGGAGTCACTCAAATTCTCTGGGGACTTCATCTTCCAGTCACATAAAACAGAAATCTGGTTTTGTTTGTTTGTTTGTTGTTACAAAAGATTGCTTTAAGTAAAATCTTGAAGAGAGGAATCCTTAGTTTTTAGGCAGGTAGGTCAGTACTACGTAAGGAAATTCTCATTATTTTAGTTTTCACTGAAGGTGAATGCTGCATAAATGTAAGTTGTTGTTGACTAATTTCTCCATGAAAACCTCTTCCTATGAAAATAGATAAGTAGAGAATTCTTCTTCTGTCATGTGGGTTTTCAGAGTTATGACCAGACTACTAGGGAGTGATGAGACAAGATGCTTTGCCTTGATCAGTTCTTCAATTATTTTGGAGTGTCCCTTTTGCTACACATAACCATTTCGTTCTCTCTTACTGGCACTACGTGGTACTTGCAAAATGTTATTTTGGAGCAAGCTATGCACTCTTAATTCAAACTACAGATTCATATGATACAGAATAGAAAGAAATAGACTCCTACATTCATGGACAAACATAAAATAATTACATTTTACTCAGTGCCACCTTACTCTATATTTTGTTTATTCCCATTAACCAAAAAAGTTTGCTTGAATTTCAATTTAGCCTATTTTTATTGTATGCTTCAAATTGTTCTTTCAAACTGTACATTCCCCTTTCCCAGATTAAATTCCAGTTGTGACTCTCAGACAGGACCTTTCCTCCCATTAGGTTTTAGAAAACAGAATGTTTCAACATTGTAAAAGTTTTCCACTTAGACAATTGCTGCCCTTCATTCATAATATGAAGTTTTTTTTCAATTATTTTCTCTAAATAAAATTAGAATTAAAACAATCTGTCAAAATAGTCTCGTTTTTTCAGGACAGGGTTTCTCTGTGGTTTTGAAACCTGTCCTGAAACTAGCTCTTGTAGACCAGGCTGCCCTCGAACTCACAGAGATCCGCCTGCCTCTGCCTCCCGAGTGCTGGGATTAAAGGCGTGCGCCACCACCACCCTGCCAAAATAGTGTTAACACTTATTTGTGATATGAAATTTGAAAACATAGGTAATGGAATCAAAGGAAAAATTATCTATAATCTTGTGACTTAAAGGCAACTACTCTTAAGTTTTAAGTAAAATTTCTTCTATATTTTAGTAAAATGAATATTTTTGTGCATGTACATTTTTCATTACATTTTGTTGTAATTTCTATGTAGTGTAAAACAAAAGCTGATCCATATGTAATATTTTCACAAATAAATTAAAGACATTCTTTTTATAAGGGCTGTATTTTAGTTTAGCTAAGTTGTAAATGAGCCATATTTTTCTTGACCAACCTCTTATTTCTTATTGACGAATTTTGTTTTTTGACAGCTTCATACATTTACATCAGCCTCTTTTTTGACACTTGAATCATTCAATACTTTTAAATTACAAGTTCTACATTTGAATGATTACTATAAATATATATTCTAGTTTATATATGTGTAATTTTTCTTAAAAATGATTATTCTTGTTGAAAACAATTTTCTTGTAGTTTGATGTCTAACTTTTTTATCATATTTACACTTTGCTTTTCATATTTTAGATTTTGTTAATGGCACTGACTGTTTTTGATGTGGTTGTTAAACTATTTTTCCCCATTTGTGAACTGGCTATTTGCATACTTTTATCACTTCATGATTTGGGTCTTACTGATTTTCATACACACACACACATGCACAAATAAATAGACACATCTCATTATATTGCAGATATCTTTCTCTCTTTGGTGTTTGTTATTTAATATTTTTAGTACTCAAATGCATCACTCGGTTTCATCATGTTTGATTTCTACCTTTGTTTTCCAGTTTCTCTTCCATAGATACAGAAAACTTCACTGTTTTGTTTTAAATATGTGGCTTTATTAATTTTTGTTCTATTCTTTAATTTCATTTGAGATTTCTTTCTTTCTTTCTTTTTTCTTTTTTTTTTGGTTTTTCGAGACAGGGTTTCTCTGTGGTTTTGGAGCCTGTCCTGGAACTAGCTCTGTAGACCAGGCCGGTCTCGAACTCACAGAGATCCGCCTGCCTCTGTCTCCCGAGTGCTGGGATTAAAGGCGTGCGCCACCACTTTTTATGTGCATAAAAGATCTAATTTGGTTTGTTTCCAGGTATTTACCAGTTGTCCAACATAGTTTACTAGATTGAACTTTCATTCTTCATTTGCTAGACTACTTTGCCAAGTACTAAAAGAACTCAATATTTATAAAATTGCTATTATTGTTGTTTCTGGACTATTTGGTTCAGTTGATCTATTTATACTTATCTTAACCAAATCAGTGTATCATAATTTTCAAACATACTAAGAAGCTATTAGCTATTCTCATCTACTGATTATTTGTGATGGAATCTAAAATAATTCTGTTAAATTGAATTAAACTAATGTCAATAAAAATTAGGGAAGTTTGTCATCTTAAAGAATTGACTCTTCTCAAAGATATAGTATAATATCTTATTCTTTTTTCATTTTACAGGCATATAAAATTTCTTTCATTGAGTTACATATTATATCCTCACAACTTTTCATTTTTCACTCCAGTATAGATAGCTACTAGGTAATACCTCATCATCCCCTGGGAAAACTAATTAAAAATATTTTAAAAATAAGCTTGAAAAAATAGCATATTTCCACAATTAACATCCCTATGTACCAAGCCAACTTTATACTTCTCTGCTGAAAGATTTGGAGGAAGAAACACATTTATAATCCTTTAGTTTTGAAGAACATAATGATGAAATTTTCATATATATCTTTGGATAAAAGAGTTATCTTTTTGACCCTTTTTTGATGGGCAAAATTGATGATGACTCTGGTAGTGTGCTAACACCTTCCAGCACTATGAGCTAGCCCATTGTAGATGAAGCTTTCAGGTCTGTTCCAGCTTGACTTTTCCATGTTCTGTGCCTCAACTATGTGGTGGTGTCTGCAACAGGGTCTTACTGTCAAGTTCTGAAGGGGAACCAAGAGCTTTGGCAATAACTTGTAGTGTCTGGTGGTCTATTGAATCTCACTGGCCAACAACTCCGAAAGACACAATCCATTCTTGATAATAGACATTTCATTTGGTATAATATATGATGTCTGTTTGTTGCCCTATTAGATTAACTCCATTTTAACTCTTTTTATATATGTGTATAGGTATATGTTTTAGGAAGCATCTTCATTAGTAGTTTTATACATGACATTTTGGAGAGGTTTTAGTGTTATTTATCCCTC